TGGGAGTCAGAGAACAGACAACTCGGGGTGGTCGCCGTCGCACCAAACAGGCCTTCGTCTCAGCACAGAAACCGCATTTCATGACCATCAACAGTTTGCATAAAGTGCTGCAAACTCATAACACCACAAGAAACTGCAACCCTGGTCAGTATATTTGACTGTTGCTCCTATATTCGCATTTAAAGGGTGGTGAAATACATGTATTTTCAGTGATATATGTATAGATGGATGACTTGCAAGTGAAGGTCAACTTCTGATTCTTCTAGAGGGGAATATAGTACATTTTGGTAAGAAGTTACAAATGTGCCTTTGACTATACATTTTATATTTTTGGAAGGCATATTTAAAATATGTCATATTAATACAACATATTAAAAAACAAGTTGTATTCATTGTTCTTTCACCCATCCCTCTTTTCTATCAGAAGAGAACAGGTAGCATTTAACTTTCTTGATGCCCTCTTCCCATAAATTCAATCCAACTTCTCACCTGTTTTGATTGAATGAGTATCACTCACTAAGATATAGCTATGTGCTAAACTTTCTCAAAAGCCAGTGGGAAAAAACCAACCTCTAATAAACCAAAAATCAAGGAAATAGCCAGCAGACAAATCCCTTCAACTGCTAAAGATCATTCAGGATGAAGCAGCATATATTAGCAAAAGAGAGAACATCAGAACTAATGTGTTACTTGCTTTAGATGCTGTAAGCATCTAAAATAACAAATGAAGACAGAAAATTCACCCCAAAAAAATAGTCAGCAATAACCTAGTACTTGAATAGTCACTGATTACTCTTTCAATTCCTCTATGAGATAACATGATTATCAAGTATACCAATTTACCTGTGGGCATGTCTAAGTGATCTGTGGCCTCCATTAGACTCCCTCTGGACACACCAAATGTATGAGGTCCTTGGAGTGTTTAGGGTTCCTACCCAGAGCACAGCATATTTTACAGGTGGGGAAGCTGAGGTACAGAAGACTCACCCACAAACATACAAGCAAACCCGTGACAGAGTAAACACTAAAATTCAGGAGCCCTTAAACTTGATGTTCATTTCCCTGGGTCCATAATAGACAGGTTACCTATAGCTATCTTGGGAAAAAAAGAAAAAAAAAAAAAAAAAAAGAGAGAAAAGAAAATGAAAGGAAAACTACTAAAGGACCTTCCACTTAGCAACCTCACCTACCATTATAGTAGTTTTCCTATCTTACCATAGAATCAAGTCAAATGCTCCCATAACCACCTAAAACACACTTCATATACCTCTTACTGAACTCCACTACACAGCACAATTCTTCCAGCACAAGCAAATCAAAACCAAGAATATACAACTTCTCGTTCATGCTGAAAATATTACTCTTTTCCTAAATTAATTCCACTTTTCAGTACTATGAATGTGTCTGTGTTTCTGCACATAAGCTAATTGGGAAGGAGACGAGAACAGCAATAGCCTACCAGAAACAGTACATGGATTTACTAGGAAAAAAACTTTATCTCGCATCTTTCTGCAAATGGTTCTTCAGAAGAAAATTAACACATCAGGTCTCTTTGGCACACAGAGTGAAGATAACTACTTCCACAGGAACCGTCCAGTGGGGATGCCAGAGACTCATACTCACAGACTTTCAAGCAAGACCAACTCCAATACTTGAAACAGGACTTCGCCTAACTTGCTTAGAGAAGCGTGATCCAATAAACATGCTATTTTTTTCTGAAGACTGAGAATGTGAAATGTTTTCTGCTTTAAACATTGTTACAGGAAGCAAACACAAGTTAGAACTGCACTCCACTAGGAAACAATATTAGAACCATACAAATACAGGACTCTGCCAAACAGCTGACATTTCAATCCTTCCTCGTGTTCACAACGCAAATAACTCATAGTCTACTTTTGGTGCTAGGGGAGAACAACAGGAATAAGGCAAAAGCACATCGAGGATAGGAGCAGCATAGCAGAATACACAACAGGAAAAATTTCCTGCTTTCCAACCCGCACCCTCAGGCCACACAGTTTCTCCTGCCAAAGGACAAAGGACTTAAAAAGAGAGACATGAACTTAACAACCCCTAATTGTGTTCTCTAGAATTCAGAGACAAAAGACTGGTATGCAAAGCAGAACTGGGTAGAAAACTGCAAATGGGTGATTTTGCCAAGTGAAAACCAAGTTCACACAGCCCTTGCTTTCCACCTTAGAAGAGTACTAAAGCATGCCCTTCCTTGACTTATATGCACTCATAAAACCTTTCAGTAGTTGCATATTACAACCTGTACAAGAGGAATTAAAATTCACCTATTAATTTCTCTGTAGCACCCAAAGTTTGCATCTTTAAACTATGCTATCCTTTCTTGCAGCATCATATAAAGTTGAAAGCACCAAGTGCATTTAGCCAATAATAAATAGTGACATACACTTATAACAGTTGTGTCCTCTTAAAAAGGATTTTGACAGAGAAAAAAGTCCCATAAGAGAAACATAACTCATAACCAGTAATCCTCACAAGGACACAACTAGAATCCCTTAAAAATCCTTGCTAATCACAGCAGTAATGTGAGAATACCAACCTTACAGGGGTCAAGCACTTAATCTGGAGTGCTGCAGATACAAACCAACTTTTCTCAGTCTTCTAGAAACAGAAGAGGTGACCCTCCTACTACTGAATGCTTTTACACAGAATCATCATTATTCTGCATTTCTCCAGTTCCCACAAACTGGAAATGAGAGCTGAAAATAAGGTCTGAGACATGGTTCTGCACCACAGAAGCAGGATTTTGCCTGCAGCATCCCAAATTGTTCTTGCTTATTAGATGTTTATTAAAACCACATACTATGTGGCCATTGGGATTTCACCACAGCAGTTCCTTGGTATACTTTGAAAACAGAGGGAAACATCACATAACACTATGATGACTGCAAAGTCATGCAGTTTCAGGAGAGAATGGCAATATTTTGCTGGTAGTGCTTTGTAATTTCTGGTAAACACCCAATAGTCTCACCAACAATGTGCTACTACCGTGATATCAACCATAAAATGCAGTGTCTTGGTGAGTGCAACTAAACAAGCGACAGTGAGCCATTACACAAAGTCTTAGCAGTGCTTTCCTTCTGCAGGAAGGCTGGACTCTGAGCTTCTGTAACCTTGAGCAGCCAAGAAGACTGGAACTAAGGCGACAACTCTACAGAATAACGAACACAAGTAGGTGTGTATTCAAACTTGTCTACACATGCCAATTCAGACAAGTCTGCATGCAGAGTAACAGCCAGGGCAGACACAGCAGTACATGCAAATGCCATGGGTACTCTCTTTCTCTTTCATGATTGGTGATATTCAGTTTAGTTGAATCATCTGGCAGAAGTGTTTGATTAAAGCTGAGGGAAGATTTATTCATTTGTATAACCAGTATCTTCCATCTCCTTTTTAGTTCTTACGTTTTGATTCCTTTTATTAGAAAACTGGATTAATACAATGATCAGAGCTTACCAAGAGAACAATTAGTTCAGCTCATCTTTTACCTATTGAGTACCATTTAATCTGAAGGTTCTGACTACAAAAGATGTACAAAGTCATTCCATTTTTTTGTGATATTGTCACCAAACATCATGAAGCTGAGAAATGTCAAAGCCAAGATGCTCAGGTAAGTTCTACAGGACTGTTTGAGTCACAGTTTTTCTTTCTCCCTTCATGCTCCACTTCCCCATCTGATCTTGCTGATGGGCAAGGATTTGGCCTAACTGGCTGTGAAGCTGCTGCACAAAGTCATAGTAGAAACATTCAACAAGCTGTTCCTCCTACACTCACCTGCACGAAGGACCCCCAGTTCTAAGTAATACGCTCCCCTTGGGGTCACGCATATAGCAGCTGGTAAGTGATAGTATAAGAGCTTTAATCTCACTAAGTAGCCTATTAATGCTTAAAAGGAGTTACAAGAATGAAGTCATCCTTGAATTCGAGACATGAGTACCTATAAAAATTTTCTTTGGCTATTTATAAAGGGAGGAGCAAGAAGACCTGACAATAACCATCCTGGAGAATATGAGGGGGTATTAAATGCTGCAGTTGCACCTCAGATCATTCTGAAGTGCAACATTTATGCCTCCTTACAGCACAACTGTGGGAAAATTCATGGAGGCTAAGGGTGCAATATTAAATAAATGTACTGTGAAATAATGCCCAGAGCTAGCACTGAAATCCATGTAAATTACAGTCCATTAATAGGGATCACAATCTAGATATATTAAATGCACTTAAAAATACAATATTTAGGCAAAATACAGGATATAAAAATAACTCATTATATATGAAAGGCTAGCTACCGAGTAGACTCTTGAAATTCATACATCTCTTGACGGTAGTTGGCAGGCTTGTAGGAGGGATTAACAAGCACAGAAAGAACTTGCGAACTTCAGAGCTTGAGGTCGTTGTTCGGGAAAGGCTAGGAGGAAATTACCTATTGGCATATTGTTTCAAAAACATTCATTAAAATTAAACTTGAAGGTTTTTTTTCTATAGCACTTGTTACTATGTTTGAAAGGTCTGATGCTATGGGCTTGAGAGGAGTGACTTTTCTACTCTGCAGTAACCACATTTGTGTCCAGATTCTTATTCCACAGCAATAGCATGGCTGGTCATTTTTATTGAGAGAAACTTTGTTGCTTTAACTATGGGATAAAGAAAATATGCACAACCAGCTACCATGGGACAGCCGGCACACCCACCAAAACAACCTTTTTGCGCGCCCACACACATTCATGCTTTAAAACTCTTTACACATTCATGTATAAAACTCTAAGCTAGGACAAATACAACTCGTATGCAAGGCAGGAGACTGGCTGTCACTTTACGGATTCTCAGCTTCCAAAGAAAGAGGTTGTGTTACTGTTCATGTTACAGAAGTCTTCATGCACAAAATGCTTGCCTTTCTCTTCAGCAGCCCATTGAAATTCAAACATGGATTTTAAGAAAAAAGTCTGTAAAAGTCAGTAACTCTTGTCACTTACTTGGCTTAGAGTTAATGACGACATTTTCAGCAGAGTGCTGGGGTGGAAACCTGCAGTTCTCTCCTTGGCCCTCACTGCTGCCATACTCTATGACTTCCACTTGGCCCAGTGGTACGCTCCACTTCAATAAATACCTCTGGCCAGTTGTCACGGCACCACTGCTGTCATAGGATGAGCTGAAAGATGCATAAATTATTGCTGTGACAAGCAACTATGTTTCATGGCATCCTATTTATTATTTTAGCTTCTAAAATCTGCTGTTCATCAGTCCAAGTACCGTGAACAGCTTGAAACAAATGCATGCATCAGGCTGACTTTTGTGATTGACCTTTCCTGGACTGCAAAAAGCAGCTATGCAGGTGCAGATAATCTTGTTTACAAACAGTATAGGACTGCCAATAACAGTCCCTACATTTCTATAACAAAACATAAATGACCATCTTTTGTGATCAACATGCATTTTGACACCCTAATACAAGTGCGCAGGACGATACTTTGGCTCCGTATTTCCCTAATTCTTTTGAAACAGGGCTCAAAAGAAGTAACTGCTAAGTTTAGGGAAGTATGGATGATGGGACCTTTGAATGAGTACCAGCAGTAGGAAGGGCAACGTAACTTCCCAAGGGCTGACAAGCTAACGTTTTTTCCAAGCCCCATGGCTCAGGATGTTCTTTACAGTAGACCTTTGGAACTGCTGTGGCTTCCAAAAGTAATCCCACGTGAGCTACTGCTAAAGGAAGTGTGTATCACAACAGGCATTTCAGAGGAAAGAGCACGCTGAGGGAGCTCACTTGGAATAGAAATGGCATTAATATCCCTTTTTCTTCGTTCCCTTCATTCCCTAATACACATTCAAGCACATACAACAAACATCTATTATAAAGGACAAAAGAGATGTTAAAGTGAACAGAAAAGGTTTACTTCACAGAAAGCATGACTGAAATCGAGACGTCAAATGCTTGAGAGAAATGAGCAAAATGCATTTATTGAGAACAGTACCTAAATGCTGATGTTCAGCTAGTCGGCTACCTATTCACAACACAGTCATAATTTTGTTTCAATGAAGAGGCAAGTATGAACGAAAACCACAAGTGCCACAGCTTAAGTAAATATTTATAAATTCTTCATCTAGTTCAGAAGAATGAAAACAAGACTAGGCAGGACACAGCTGTTCAGTCACTAGGGATAGCATCCATCCTGTCCAACTCCTGCTACTTAAAAGTTAGGTCTCCGGTTCGAGCGGTCATTTAGACTACATGTGAAGAAGGACCTTCTGAGGGTCGTGTACTCTGTAGAAACACATGTCCTCTGCCATCTAGAGAAAATTGGTCTGGAACCAATGGTTCCCATGCTCCTGGGACATCTGACTGTTTCCGTAAAGGCTGGACAAAAGGTGGTTAAGAAAAGTGAGCTGATAAATACTGCGCAGTTACATGTACATGTAAAGAAGTCATGTACAGCTCCAGGGTAAATCTGCAGGCGTGCACCTTGAAAACCGCTGCTGTAAGAACAGAAGCCTAGCTTAGGTAAGATGTCTAACTTCTATACAGCTAAAATGAAGAGAAATAAAGCTCATCCTGCACAAGCTGACCAGGCAAGCGGTAAATTCTATAGCATGCATTTATTTTGAACAAGAACTTCTGGACTGGATACAGGTGTCAAATGTAAAATCTGGCAGATGATTTCCTTCAGTCCCTAACTACATTTTGCATGACAAAGGTAGTTCCATCCGCAGTAAAAATCTGAGCATGGTTCATGAAATCATGGAGGAATCCTAAATCCACACACACAGCTTGCAGGTGGACCCACCCGCAATTGAACAACCCAAGGAAGTCATAAACCTTTTCTTTGCTAGTGAATAAAGTCATTAACTTTTTCAGAGTTAGCAAACCACCATGACAGATGCATGCCCAATTACCATCCCAAAGGAGGTTGCTCAGAACGAGTTAAGGCCCACAGGAACAACAGCGCTGTGATAACCAGAACCATTGACTTAAAAAGGAACCTGGACACTTGGCATAATCATGAACTTTTCACATGGAAAATGAAAACAGACTGCACATTGCCACTTCAGGGACAAATACAGAAAATCCAAGGCAATGATGGTATGGAAGAAGATAAAATATGAATGGTTAAAAGCATTTTTCTTGCAAACAACCATGAGAAAATATCCAGGTGTTGCTAAGGAACTGAAAAATTTGTAAAGGAAAAGAATCACAGGATAATTGACATAAACTTGTTCATTTTCTGAAGTGCAGTTATTACATGGCACTTCTCACTCACTAACACGAGACCGAGCATTCACACAACTACAAAAATATGTACTATATTCACACTTCAGTAATAATCTAAGATATTAACTCATATTATGCTTAAGAAAAGTTGTTCTTGGAAGATTTTAAGGGCCCATATTTCCTCTGTCAGAATGTACATCACAAAGCAATTTATGATACAAGCAACACTTGAATGCGAGTGTGACCTTGGCATACACAGAGGTATAGTAACAGTAATAATGTCAGCCAACTAAAACACAGAGGGCACTATGAAAAAATGCTTTCTTCAAAGCACCTCAGCTTTAATCCTTCAATGTTTGGTCTCAAGAGATAAAAGCCCTTTCCCAGCTGGAACTTTGTTAGTGAGTTCCAGGTTTGTTCTGGCCACACGCATAGCTTTGTGTTTTGTTTCGTTAAATTTGCCAATTGTGTCAAGTTACAGATTTGTGTGTGTGTGACAGTATGAATTTAAGGAAGAAGAGAAAAACATCCTACCTTGGCATGCCTGTGCTCCACTAAACACTAATACGCAGCAATAACTAGACATTATTTCTATCTGCAATCTCCAACTGATGTAGTTTTCTTACAAGTTTAGTCTAAAACTTCCAAACATCAGCAGGCAATTTAGAGGACTGTAACAAAGCTAGTTACTCATTTATTATGACTACTCCTAGAAATCATTAGCCATAGTAAAAACAATAATAATAAAAAAATCTCAGTAAGTGTCCTTTTTTCCAGCTGAAGCTTGAATGATTGTTTAAAAAATATGAATCAAGTCTTACCGAATATTTACTGTTGCACACATCAGCACATCATTTAACATGAAAAGTCGTCGTTCTTTGGTTTTGAGAATTTCTCCTTTATCATTGTAAACTGTCTCAACCATATCATCAGTCCGTATGAGGTATCTGTTTCCACTGCTGAGTAGCTAGATTTTAAAAACAAGCAACAGTGTGTATTATACAGGGTACATCTAACATCCAGTGCTAAAAAGAAAACAAAATACAACGGGTTATCACTTGCCATCCTAGTACAAGTGTTCGCAGGTGGATTTGCCAAGTGAATTAAGCCTCTCTACTCAACTTGCTTTTCATTTAGAGAAACAGTAAATTCTGCTGCCACCAATACAGCCTGCAGGGGGTTTGGTCTTAATATGGAACATAATTGCTCTGAAAATCTTCCACACTGATAGAGGTCCTCTAGCAAAAAAAAAAAAAAAAAAAAAATAGTTTCCACAATTTCTGTGGTTTCCTTCCCTCATCCCTTCTTTCACAGCCCATTTAAGCACTACACATGGTTCCAGCTCTCCCAAAGCAGGAGGTCAGTGTTGGAGGAGGAAAAGTGCTCCTGCCTGCTACGCCCACCCAGGCTCCCAGAAGCACAGCTGGCACGTCATCACAGACTGCAAAGATGATGACATGTAGAAGAGATGCATGGCATGGAAATTCCTCCTGACGTTTGCCTTCCAAGGGCTGAGGATCAGGGCTGCGTGCAAGTATGAATCAACCCCTCACAGGTCAAATATACCTCTGTAGTGGCCAAGAGAACAAAGTGGTCCATAACTCACTCGTTTCCTATCCACCCACCTCCTTCACCACTTGTTTCACCCTGCCTGGCATTGTTCCACTCTATATGCAAATATTAACCCACAAGGCACACAGGGCCCTGTGTGATTTGGAGTTACTATCCACGTATATATCAATTCATCCTCCCAGTGCATAACATAGAAGATTTTACAGTCAGTATCAACTGACAAAAGGAAATGTGGACCACTTCTTAAAAAGCACATTCTGTGTCTTGAACTCCTTCAACGATTTGTAGATGATTAGTAGCTGCTTCGAGAAGCAGGAGTATGAGAACTAGAAAAGAAAGTAAAATGTCTGAATCCACTTTCTTATGCACTTAGAATGGAAATGCTGTTCCAGTACAACAATAAATTCAGTATCCCATTTCTGATAAATAACACAACACAAGTGTGTTCTGGTTTATTATTTTCCTAAAAACTATGCTTTTATGCATCACAAAAACACCCCCACATTCCTTGCACTCCTTCAGCATGTCTCCATTACTCTATCCCAGAATGAGTCCAAAGTATAATCATCTAACTTCATGAAAGCAATAACTGAAGCATTTATGCCCCATCTCATGGGAAAGGAGGAACCATTTATTATACAAGTAAGACAAGCATACAAGTACAGATAGCTACTAACAAACTCAAACGAAGAAGATTGTTCCTTCCTTCCTATGGAACGTCTTCTACAGTTCTTTAAAGACATTTCTATGGTATGATCCAAAAGCATGAATGAAACAGAGTGGGATGTTCCTTAGTCCAAGGAAGATTTGGGACACATACAATAGCACATCTTGAACTGCTCCATAGTTGGAATCACTGCAGTATAAGAAACGGGTTCCTTTCTTTATACAGCAGTAATTCCTCAGTTCTAGGATAAATTAAAAGTTGAATTTTTCCCATGCAGAAAATGTGCACAAGACTTTACTATACAGTATTATTTCCTACACTGCCACGGAACACCAGTACTGCTGCTGCTATTTCAGCATGTTGCCTGCTCCAGCACACAGTGGTTTAACCAGTGAGCATGTTCAGTCACGGAGGCGGGTCACATCTCACATCTGCCACTAGAATGACACCATGTTGTTGAGCTCTACGAAAAAAACCCACAGGCGCCTCTTTGGTGTCCATTTTAGAGATTGCTCAAGGCCCAGAAACTAACTCTTCCATCACACATTCCTACTTTCCTAACCTTGTTCAGATAACGTTCGTTCATTGCTTTTGCTATTTGTTTTATTTCACAGCGCTGATCCGCATCCCTTTTCCTTTCATTTAACTTCTCTGCCAGTGTTTCGAGTTCCGTAAGAGCCATCTGTAGAGGTAATCTGTCGGGATGTCCTTTATTAGTGTTCTTCAACATGTCCTGAGGGGAAACGATAAAACAAAACAAAAAACAGATTTCATTTCAAAGTCAAGTTCAAAAGATTACAGGATGTAAAGCTACCACTACATTCTTTACCCGAGTACTACTAAAAAATAAGACGAATGAACACCTAACAAATATTCAGACAGCACATTGCTTGCTTTCCTGAATATTTGAATAGTTCTTAAAAAAGATACTGAATGGGGTCACATATAGCTTATCTACAGGATGAAAGTACAGAGAAAGAACTTGTAAATAAATGTAAAAACTGCAAATGTGAATATAAATAAAAAAGATGCACATCAACATCAAACACAATTTGAAAACCAATATTATAGTATAATATGTAGGTGTCCATAAACAATGATTTAACATTAAACTTTCGGATATTTTTATCTCCGTTACTGCCATTATTCCTCACTAAAACACTGACAGTATGCTCATCCCGAAGTAGAAGACATTACTTACTTTCTCTCCTTTCCCACAGTGCTTAAAAATCCCTACGTGCTCCTGCCGCAATAAACTCCATCTCTTCTGCTAACTTAAAAACTCTCACCGAGGCTTCCTACTCACGTGCTCCTGCCCCCTACCTCTGCTCCTTCTCCCACACTAATTCCCGGACCTGCATCCCAAAGGCTGCGCTCCTCTGTGCCACCTGGAAAATACAGCTAACTTATAATGCCCACTGGGATAGACCTGCCGTGGTCTGGAAGGAGTTACAAACAGTGTAAGTCGGTCTGGAGCAGGTCTACACTGGGGAACTGTGCTCTTCCTGCAGCTCGACTGCCTGTTCAGATGAGATCCAAGGACTCCCTGTCAAATCCCCAGTCTCCATGGGAAGGAAAACAAGATGCTGCAGGCCAGAAGGAAGCTGCAACACACTCAGCAGGTCCTGTGAGCCAAGTAGCCAGGGAGAGAGTGAGATTTTGCTCTATGTCCCACATATGTTCTGAACTATCCAAGGCATGAATGACATCCTCTTCTATTTTTCTTAAATGGAAAGTAATGCCACAAAGTTCCCAGTGGTGTTTTGAAATGTTTTTAGCTAACAAACTGATAGGAACAAGTAGCACATTTGAACTACAGCTTTACTGCAAAGTGGCTTACCAGTTAAGTCTAACCTAGCAAGTAATCTAAAGTAAATCTAGTTTTCGAAGATTTTCCCGCAGTATATTTACTGCCTGTCCCTGCAATCAGACTACAAGATCAGCACATTATGATGCACTGAAATTTTTTCTTTATTTCCCCATGATCCAGTGGTCACTACTATTGCAGCGTGCTCCTCCAGCAGAAAACAGCTACCATGCAATCCCACAAGCAAACCATGTAAGAATGCAACAAGAGCATCCCTTTGGTAAATATTATTTACCTGCAATAGTAGAATGAACTGCGGAAAGCGCTGGATAGGTTTCATCATTAAACCATACAGTGTAATTCGATCAGGGCTTGACTCCTGGCACTGCTGCAATGCAAGAACGCCACGCTGTTTACTACCATGAGCGTATTTCCATCAGTTGCAGAATGAAAGGAAAACATTTCCCAAAAATTCTTCTACATCATTCACATTGATTATAACAGTGGTAAAGATTCCATTTACTATAAAGATTTCATTATTTCATTTAAAAATATTAATTTTTTTTTAAAAAAAATCACTATTAAAATGATGGCATGTCACTGAACTGAAATCTCCTTAAGTAAATACAGCCGGGATAAAGTCACAGCAGCAATGCAGCCCCCATGTATATAGTGATACAGCACATTCAAGTTTTTTACATAAGCAGTGCACTGAAACATCTGCTTAACTTCAAGCACAACAAAGGGAATGTACTTGTTCAAGGTCTTAAATTTGAAAAATGTAAGTGATCTCATGCTTTACAGTCTGTAATTTACTATTGCTGCTTTGTTTCTTGGGGCTAAGAGACTATAAATCTCTAACTACCTATGTGTTTTTAAGAGGAAATCTAAGGAAAACATCATAATCTCAGTGCTATGCAAGCAAAAAGACATTTTCATTTTCTTTATTAAAAGAAACTAAGGAAAAGGACATTGATTTATGTTTGGAAAGAAAAACATAAGAATCTATTATTTTGGTTATCAGGACTGGCAGATAAAACCAGACAAATTTCATTTGCATGTGCAGAAAAGCTCTGTTTGTATAAGATATTTCAACGTTTGGAAATATTTTGGCCAGAATCACAGCTAACCCAAAATAAGGAGAGTAGAGGAAATACCCCGTATTAAAAACAAGCCAAACCAAACCAATATTAAACTGGTGTTGTGCTTAAATTGCTATTCATTGCTACAACTATCAGCTTCATGACAATTTATTTCCATAATTAATCTCCACAAGCATTTTTTTTTTTTCCCCAAACAGCATTAGTGAAGATTCTGGTCTTCATTGCTGGTGGGCAAACAAAACACAGGAAGGTACAGAAATGTCTGCTGTCATCAGAGTTTGGCTGTGAGTCCGCAGCTCTGAGTAGCACCAGTGCCGGCACTGGCAAGGAGCGATGAGAGGTGTAAGTTATGCCTCTGTTGGGACAACGAGTTTTTAACAGTGTCAGAGGCATGAAGTGACTCTATGCTCACTACAGAGTCTGATCTTTGTGGTGCCCAAGGCTTCCAGAATGTAATCCTGTGTAGCGCTGGCCACACTCCAAAAAGTTGTTAGTTAATTTTAAGATCTGAAGACAAATTAGGAATCAGCCCCCTCTAGGCACCCTAAGAGCTTCACAATTCAGTTTGCCTAGGGCACCCAATTTCAGTGTTTGGTGGACCACCGCAACAGACCTGACAGGGTGACAGTTCCGACAGCCACAACTCGATCCAGGACTCTTGGGGAATGGGACAAGCAGAGCTTCCAGGCTCTCAGCAGGGTCTCAGACAGCCTAAAAACCTTGCAGTGGATTTTGTGTACCCTCTGTAAGGTATCAGCCCTAGGGATTTGCAATTCTACTGCATGTACCAGGCTCTCCATCAAGGTAGTATGCATTCTGCACAAAAATTTTCAATTTCAGCCCCAAATTGGAAACATGATTTTCAAAGTACTAGGAAATTGTTGTGGAACAAATCTAGTTACACTGCTCTGCACAATACAATAAAGAAGTCAGAAGCAAAATAAATCCCAAATAAGAGGTCTTATACGGTGAACTATTATTTGAAGCTCACCTGATACAAAAGAATCCCAACGTCTTGACAAGTACAGTCAGGCAAACACCAATAAACTGATCTGAACAACAACAAAACTATTCCACGCTTCAAAATACATCCTAGATCTCACATCATGTTGTTATTCTGAAAATACAGTAGTGGAAGCGAATTCTCTGGGGTTTTTTTGTGCCAAACCCATAAAACATAAAAGCAAAGGCCACAAAGACAGTCATGCAATATACAGTATCAGCAGTCAAATTTCCTCCTAACTTATAATTTATACTGTCTTATTTATAACATAGGCCCAGTTGTTTTAAGATTGAACGAACTCACCTTTAAGAAGTCTAAAAAGGCAGGTTTGGTGGCACATGTTTTCTTCAGAATCCCTACTGCTGTACTGAAGTTGTTTACATATTCACTGTATGCATCCAATACCATAGATTTAGAAAACTGAAAAGATAAAAGGGTAAATCTTAATTAGAAATACAAAAGATCCCTGAAAGTATAACTATCTAGACCTCTGACCATTAAGGACTCGCCTTGCTCAGAGCTAAGGGTTTTGCTTGGCCTAGTGCTGGATCTACAGAAATACTGGTGATGTCCAAAATATTCTTTCTGTAGAAGACAGGTTGGAAACCTAAAGATGTAACAACTGTGAATTACAAAATGTATATTTACAGAAAGAGCTTCATCTTCGCTACAACGCTAGGGCAGAGCCTGAGGACTATGGGCAGAGGGCATCCACTGAGATTCAAAGTGGCTGCTGGAATCCCCTGATCATCTCACTGCTGCCTAACTTCCAGATTTGGTGAACGAGGAGAAGTTCCAGGGCCTTCATGCCCCATCTTCAGCTGGTAAGGGTTTATCAAGAAAGCAGACAGATTGTGTGGCCTGCAAACAAGGGAAAGATCTCTGCCCATTGCCGCCTTGGTAGTTTTATCCCTCTTCTGCAGAGGTGGTCTTATTAACACTACCTAATTTGCTTCAGGCAAAACCAGACAGGTTTGCTTTAAACAGCAAATCTTTAGCAACTCTTTCATTTTGACTGAAATGGGGTCAAAGCACTCAGAGACACAGATCCCAGCTCTCTTACAGGAGGCATGAAAAGGGGATAATTTCCAGCAGCTGAGTGGCAACAAAACCAAGCACTCAAACCAGTAGGTAGGCAGCCTTTTCCAGCCACACACTCATCGTGGGAAAAATGTCTTTCTATCAATCAAGGCCACTTCTTGTTTTCTCTAATTTAAAGCAGTGGCTAGTTCAGTCCTTTACTGGATGGATTTCCTTTAAGGGTGGGATAGTGTTTTACAAATACTCTTTACCTGTGCCCCAGGCTCAGTTAAAACCCAGGAATTCAGGACACCACCAACCATGTGTTTTCTACTCCCAAACAACACACTATGTATGATTACCTACTTTTTAAGCGATGCTGAGCTTCAATCTCACCTTAATTTTGGTGGTTTTGGGAATCTCTATCTTCTCAGAAAAAGGAACTGTTTACTTAAATGTCTGAAAGCTTGATCAAAGCCTGAAAATTTTGCCCACAATCCTTTCACATCTGCCAACCAAGCTGAAGACCTGTGTTGGTGTCAGTGTCCTTACCAGGATGGTACATACATACTCTCATAGTCACCACAGGCATTGGAGAACATGGGAATAAAGTGGCCAAGTTAGACAGAAAGAGATGGAGATGCAATAACAAGCCTAAAACAAAAACAGATTATCTGTTCAGATGCATTTGCTTACTGAAGCAACAAAGACATCACCGATCATTTCAACAGAGTCCCACTCAGAAACACGACTCGCCAGTGCAATCTGAAACATCGAATGGCACTGAAGAATTTCCTTAATTCGGTAAAAGACCATTTTGAGTTTTCTTTCACTCAATAATTTTGGTTCCATATCTGAAAGGGGCTTCTCATATTGCTGTGGGGAAAAAATACATAAATAGATTTAAACAAACCAAAAAATGGGTCTTCTACTAGTAGAAAAAAACAACTTATGTAACTGTATACACACACACAAAAATCTCTAAGCATTTGGCATGAAGCATCTGTAGCAAAATCTATGTGAGTCATACTACAGATTTTTTAAAGATTTGATTATTTGTCAAATTTCCAAATTATAAAATGCAACAGATATTAAGGTACCTCCAGGATTCTTTTGAGAGCATCCACGTAATTCTTCTCACTGTCAACTACAGAGCCCAAAATATACCTTCTCACAACCTGTTGAAGAAACAAAGTTTTGCCTGAAGCTCTAATCAGGTAACACATTCATCATAGTGGGGAACGCCAATAATAAAATTCTCACGTTAATAAGAAATAAGAAACACAAAGCAATTTCAATACTGGAACTGCAATAAAATAATACTGTACCTCTTAAAAAGTAATTACATTTACTATTACTCTAAAATTATTTATTTTAGAGAACACAACAGTTATTGTATCTGTATCTATAATCTTTGCTGGCTGTTGAAATTCCAAGCTTTACTTTTGAAACTTGTCTTTTAATTTTAGATGTATAAATTTAGGCATTAATATAAATAATAATAGGTATAAGATGATGTTGGCTACTTCGGTGAATTGGTGCAACAAAGTAAGTAACCAGTTTTCAAAATCAGTCTTATCAGTCTTCAAGATTAATTTTCTTTTTTTCATACGTTTTATAAATGTATTAGGAGTAACCGTAAGGACAAACAAGCAAACATTAATTGCCTTTTTAAGGTAAGGTTGTATGAATTGTACCACTGAGAAAGTATCTAAGTCAGTCAGCATTCTTTTTTGAGCATTACCACGTGTAAGCGAAAACCCTGTCTCATTTATATTCATATCCATTGACAGAGTTGTAAGATCTTCAGGAAATGCTACCATATTTCATATTTACAAACCACAGGCTATTTATCACACCTCCTTCTCCACCTCCTGCTTCTGTAATTCAGCTGAAATGCACTTTATATGCATATGCACCATAACAGGAAGGACTGGGGAACCGATCTGGTTTAAAATGTAAACTTCTAACTGATTTTAAGGATTTGTTTTCACCCAAATCCATTTCCTAATCCAGCTCATGCCAGGGTTTTCAAAAGCTGGACTCTGAGGGCAAAGACAGCACAAGGGCAGGATCAAACCACTCCTCACAACTACAAGGAAACGCAAAACTGTTTTTTTGTTTTAACAACAGCAACTCTTTTGCTGTTTTAAGCTAGCCTAAATGACTATGAAACTCGAGTTTCAGACATGCTTCTCTCTGCTCCTGATCCCCACAGCCTCCTGCCTCCTCTGCCATGGTTGCCTTCAATTCTCCACACTTGTATTCTGCATTATTACGTTAACTGCAGGTTACGTGAGGATTTTCTTTCAAGTACTGGCATTTCAAAGGAAGACTTCAAAATTATCTGAGGCCTTGCTTAAAGATATATACAGTAAAATTAGTTGTGTCTAACTTGTGTTTAGAATGGATTTAACAGCATCCTATTTGGTATAATGTATCAGCTGCTCTGGTAAAGGATACTAACTCCACTTTTAGTCACAGTTCATTCTTCTGAAAAGAATAAACATCTGTAGAAAATGTTTTTTTCAGGCTCTATAATACACAGAATAGATATTTAATAGTGCCTACCGGTTATTGCAATAGATACACACAAATTACAAGAGGCTTGCATGCAAGTCTTACATTTATATTCACATTTTTGCTAGTAACAGTAGCATACAAACAGAAATAACTTCTCATAAGAATTCAGGTCTCAGTATTAAAAGGAAGCAAAAGCTATCGTGACCGAGACCCAACCCCGCACATAGTATTTAAACAGTCCCTAGGTTTTAACCAAAACCTATCGTGCCACCTGCTGTTTAAAACAAGCACATTCATAAAGTCAATTTATTCGTGGCAGAGCAGGCCAGGTTGGAAGGGGCTTCTGCCCTTCACCCCCCCCAGCTGGGATGCCCAGGGCTGCTGTGCAGTCTGCTGGCCCCAGCCCGTGCCGTGGCACAGGGTCACTCCATCCTGGAGTCAGGACTTGGGTTGGCCCCTGTTGAACTGCTCAAGTGGTTCCTGTCAACCTCAGCCCACCAAAGCCACGCTGACCAGCAGCCCCACGCTCCCACACACGGCCTGCCGGTTCGGTATCGCTGCCAAACGTGCACCACAGCCGGTATCCAGATCGTTAATAAAGGCATTAAACACCACGGGCCCCGTATCCCCTCCTGAGGGACAGCCCTAACACTGGCTACCTACTGGACCTTGTACCATGGGCCACAATCTTCTGAGCATGGTGTCCTTGACTGTTTTCCACCCACCTTCTAGTTCACCCATACAAATTCCCTCTCACCTATACGGCTACAAGGGTGCTTCAGGAGACTGCTGAAGGCCTTGCGAAAGCAGAGGTAAATGATGTCCTCTGCTCTCCTCTGTCCACAAGCCACTCACCTCAAAAGGACTCAAGCTAGGCAGGCACAAATGGACTCTGGTCCATCCATGCTGACCGTTCCCAATCACCCTCCTGTCCTTCCAAATCCAGGAATAGCTCCCAGGAGCATTTGCTCCATCACCTTCACAGGGACTGAGGTGAGGCCAGCCTGGATCTTGCTCTTCTTGAGGATGAGAGTGTGACATTTACTTTTCTCCAGTCTTTTGATCACTGCGATCTCAGACGATAGAGAAAGGCCTTACCCTCAGCACCCTTAAGTCCATCCCATCTGGCCCCAGGGACATCTCTATGTCCAACCAGCCTCAGTACTCCCTAACTGTGGTAATGCTCCCCTCCAGCAGGACCAGCCTTGAGGCTCAGGGCCCTCAGAGGCCCAAGGACAAACCTCACCGGTAAGAGTTGAGGCAAAGGTGGCACCGAGTACCTCCATCCTGCAGTGCCCCTTGTCACTAGGTCTTTGCCCCATCAAGCAGCACCTTCCTTTTGCTGCCAATGTACATAGAAGAAATTTTCATCGTTGCCCTTCACACCTCACTAGCTCCAGCTGAGTTTTGGCTTTCCTATCTCCATTCCTGCCCACTTGGGCAGCTCCTCATGGGTAGATAAGCAGCGCACAACATGACCTACACAACAATTACTACTCCGCTCCACACTACTCCGCTTTTTCCAAAAGAGGGTACATTTATTTTTAATTACCCCTCAAAAAAAACCCACAATGAAACTCTCAAACCTTTATATAGAAAGAAGGAAAAGACAGCATTCAGACTGATGCCGAGATCTTACATTATAATGAAATCTTACAGTGATGTAAGACAGTTTGTTAGTTGCACTGTTACAAGATTAGCCCTTCCCTGTGCTAAACACATCAGAAAAATAAACCTCACCAAGCAAATCAAAAAACTTATACCACTCTTCTCAACTGCCCCTTAATTTGTTCTTTTTCTTATTTTCTGACGGTACCGACCAACTCATGACTTGATACCACAAGAAGCTAAAAATTCTCATATAGTTATTACTTGTCATAACAATACAGTAACATGAACCCACAAGATTTATTTTCAGCTGAAATTTCTAACTGATGCCAATTTCAGTGGTTTTTGAAGTGGTTTCCACAGTGACTACAGACTTTGAGGTAGAGAAGAGCAAAGTATACTCTTCTGTAGACTTGACTTTATTGGGGACAAGTTTTTTGTAATCAGAAGAAACCTTAAGATTAGAGAGCATACAGGATATTTATATTTACATTTAAAATAGGAATTGTGGAGCATCTGGAACAATGTCTTCTGACTCAATAAAAATACTTAAACTCTTTTCTTCTTCATTCAAAACCATCACATTCAGTTTAAGAGTTCAGGTAGTGAAACAATATTATTATTATAGATAATTTTACAATGCAAAACAGCATTTTGCATCTCTGGCTGAATTCAAGACTGATGCAACTACATGCACACACATCAATTTTCAAAAAACTACTTATTCAGTTCTGAAGTTCATGTCCACTTAATTTACGTTAAACACCAGTATGTTTGAAGAGCAAGGCACCTGGGAGCCGTTGATGTAGGGCAGAAGGGGAGGAAAAACAAGCAGAAGAAAGTGTTTCCAAAAGCCTACTACCTGCTGCTGTGATAATCCTTCAGGCATTGGAGTCATAATTGCTTCTGTATGCATACAGTCCACATCAATAAATAAATTTAGCTCCTCTTCTTCCAGACATGATGATCTATGATCTAAAAATAATTGAATAATCAAAATGTCAACTTTTACAACATGTAGATTGAAAGAAGAAGGAAAAAAAAAAGCAAAGATCCTATCATCCAAGCACAGTAATTACACAGCAGTCTTATTTTTGCTTACCAAACAAAAGAAATTTCCCAGCACTTCTGTATCACCTGTGAAATCACATAATGTGAATAATTCTGTGCTCTAATACAGAACATCTTTCAAAGGTATCTCAAAATCCTAAAACCCACACAGCAGGGGACAGTCTATGCATCTTTTGCTTGAGCTTTACTCTCTCTTCACAGCCAGGAGAAGAGGGCTGTCCAGAGTGCAGGACATGACAACACTGGGGTTAAAACACTGCAGCTCCAGGGCCAGCAGGTTTGAAATAAATGACCTTTGGGAAGAAATTAAACACACTCATAACAAGATCCAGCTTAAAAAATTCCATACACCCTTCCATAACCAAACTAAATTAAGTAGTACTAAAATGTACCAAAATGATGGTTTTGGTCAGAAATGCAAGCAAGGAATTCTGTATTGCTCCCTACATACTAATTTTATGCAAAAAGCACCACCAAAGTGCAGTGATAGGTGGCAGTACGCAGCCAGCCAAACAAGCAGACACAAGCAAAGGAGAGATAAAGAAAGAACAGTATGAGAAACCGTGTCTTAGAACAAAACAGGAAGCAAGGGAAGCAGATCTGTTGGCTGGGAGGAACTAATGAGTTTATTCATCCAATTTGTCATTAGCTCCCTGCTGATTTGGTAAGTAGCTAAGGGATTAAACCATCCACAGGTACCCGTGTCTGCTACCTAACCTCTGGAAACGTAAAGAGGAATGCCAGGTCCACACTGTAACACTGCCCTGCTGAAGCAGATTGTTTTCTCCTGTGCAACAGCAAGAAGTTGAGGACACGTTTTTGATCACTAAAGTTTGTGCAAATAACTTCCTATTTTCTGTCTGTGAATCAGGTAAGCTCAGAAGCAATCAGAGGCAAAGAGAGGGATGTTAAGATGTGTGCTGGTCCTTATGGATAGGGTGCAGCTTTACGTTAGCTCGCTCACTAAAAACATCTTGTCCCAGTCTTGTGGTTTAAGCTTCCTAAAATTGTAGTTTTATAAGCTCTGAAGTTACAACCATTCAATTAGTTGGGCAGAGACTTGAGCAGAAAGACATACTACCTCTCAGACTTATTCTGAAGACAAAATAAGTTTGTATTCGGTTACTACCCCCCACCTTTTGCAAAAATTAACTGTGGACTGCTGCTGCTGAGGCTCATGACAGAGGGCT